CACTAATGTCGGAGGCATCATCGACTCCAGTAAAGCAATCCCGAAAAGGGCCCCCTACACTAGAGCCTCTGCCCATATCGGGGGGTCTTCAATTCTCGAGCTTCCTTTAATGCCTCCTCAGAAAAGGTCAAAAGAGAAGGAAAATCACCCACTATCATAGTCCCGAGTGAATCGCTCGGGATGCTCTGAATGAGACTCGGAGTATCGAAATCGACCCCGACCGGTATAACTGTCAACGGCTCAGAAGGTCTAGCGACCTCGACAGCTTTCGCAGATCAGATCACCAAAGCCGAGGCTTCTTCTTCTCTCAGTTGCTGGACCGAGTCCGTCGAAAGAGCGATTGCTTTCCTCCTCACCCTTTGAGTTTTGGGCTTGGGGTCCTCTAATCGAGAGATAGCTTTTCATTTCATATCTTTCCCCGGTTCCGGGACCGGGGACTTGGTTCCTTCCTCAGCACTCGAAGGCCTCAAATCGACATCCTTGGTTACATCTGTATGAAAGGAAGTCGGTAACGAATAGAGCCTAAAAACATTTCGAAGAACACGAGAAGTGACCCTTACCGTGATTCTTGGCCTCCCATCTACCTTTTGCCAAATCACGCCAAGCTCGTTCGGCATAAAAGGAAGTCGAGGCTAACTTGCGAACCCAATCCTCGAGGTTGGGTACCGCTTGTGGCATCCAAGGGGCAACTGTATATCGGAGAAAGATATTAGATAGAATCAGAGAAAGATACAAAAAAGCAATGCCTTATGGAATTCACTTACGGTCGAAATTCCATTTCTCGGGGAACCACATCTTTGCTTCTGGAATGAGGTCACGGGTCCTCACCCGAATATAATGGCCCATCCAACCCCGATCCTTGTCTTCATCAATGCTCGACATTAGAGCTTTCGATGCCCGACGATGAAGCCTGATTAGTCCTCGAAAGATTTGAGGCTTATACAATCGTATGAGGTGATTTAGGGTGATATCCAGCCCCCCCGGCCTTGTTGGAGAAGAAGCGAGGCAAGGTCACTATGCGCCATAGAGAAGGATGGATTTGACCGATAGTGACCTGATATCTTTTGCAAAAATCAATAATTACTGGGTCAACGGGACCCAACGTGAAGGGGTAAGTATATACACTTAAACACCCCTCAACATGAGTGATGACGCTCTCTTCGGGAGAGGGAATCTGCAACACAACCTCGGGACCTCAGTTGCAGTCATTCCTCACAGCCTTGAGATGGCCCTCTGTTATTAAGCATATGTACATCGACACATGCTCACACCAGCCCAGAACCGACGAAGGATTTTCAACCTTAAAATTGATCTTCAGAGTACACGGGCCAGGAACATACTCATGGGGAGGCAGCTCCACCGGCGCCTTGTCGTCGGACGACCGTGAAGAGGAAGCTTTCTCCTTCTGAGGTATGGTTTTTTAAGTTTTTGCCATTGATGTAAGAGAAAGAAAAGCAAAGGAAGATGAAAGGTTGATGAAGGTGGCTCTACAAGCAGCGAAACAGAGGCAGAAAAAGTAAGAAAATTTGGGAGGTTGCAGATGTAAAAGTGGTAAATGATAAATGGAAGGGCTATTTATAAGTTTATACCGTGGCAGTTCAGTATCAGCGGTGGCCGACCACCGTCAGACGTGCATTAAATACCTTGAAAGACTAAATCGACGGGACAACTATCACATACGTCACGATCGAGCCCAGTGAAAACGTCAGCCTACTATCCGATCGGGCCGTCGAAAATCATATCGCTTCTCACCACATTCTTCCTGAGAAACGATGGGACTATCTGTGTATGGTCGAAATAAATTTCAGACTCCGTACGTTTGATCGAGTTCGAATGGTAAGCGATCGAAGTGAGAGCTTGAGACGGGTTTCGAGGATAGTACAAACAAGCCTCGAGCTCCAAGATCGATCAACGAATAGGCTCGGTATCATTATCAAGCTGATGACCAAATTGAACCGCAAGGCAAAGAGAAAGTTATCGGGGATGCACAGACCGATTGGCACTCGCCCCGAATGTCGAACTCGAACTCAAGGCCGAGGGCTCGACCCAATACCCAGCTCGAACCAGTATCGAGCTCGCAGACATGAGCCGTTAAAACCGCACTAGGGGAGAGAATCTTGGCAGAAATCGAGGAAGAGACAATTCATCATGAGTCCTCCACTATATATTTTTTATTATAAATAAAGTAAGATCCCTCTACTATAAAGGAGGAATCCTTGTAAGCATAAAGAGGTTCACACATTGTAAAAGAAGACTAGTTCTATTTATTGAAGAATAAATCTCTTAAGCTTGTATTATTCAGCATATTCACCGGTCCAATTCAATAATTTATATCCCATTTCTATAGCCAAGAATCTGAACATTTTCACTTCTACGTATGATTTATGTCAAGCTATACCGCATATCCTTAGAACTACTTATAAATTCAACTATATCCGATTTTCCGGGTAAACAAATCCGTTGCAACAGTTTTATTGGAATCGTTCCACACCCGTCTCATTCTTCATGGTTGCAATATGGTATTACTTATTGCAATGCTTATGTGAGGATATTATAGTAAGGCTGTCGCAACTGTTTATATAAGCTGCTGCAACAATTTTTAGAATCTAAATCGCAATTATTATTTACGTATATAACAGTATCCATAAAAACAAAAATGTATACTTCCTTCCTCCCAATTTATGTAATGTTGTTTGACTAAGCATAAAGTTTAAGAATAAAAGAAAGACTTTTGAAAACTTATGATCTAAAACAAGCCATAAATATTGGTGTGACTACACATTATCTCAATAAAAATAAAACAAGAAGTTTAAAGTTAAATTATTCTTTTCTGAACACACTCAAAAGAAAAAAAAATCATATACATTAAAATAGAGAAGTAATATTTCTAATTAATAATTCACAAGGAAACATAATTTCCCGACATACTTCTTAACAAGCGTTTGGCCATAGATTCCCAAATTTGTTTTGAAAAATCTGATTTTGGTGAAGTTTGGTTTGAAGATGAAAATGTGTTTGGACATCAGTTTTCAAAACATATTTCACTTTTAAAAAAAAAAAATATGAAACATGACTTATACCCACAAGTTCTAAAAACTATCACAAATACCAACACTACCTTCATCAATAACATTCATTATAATTATCACAAACCATAGTCATGAACATAAATAAATTTGGTACAAAATTATCATTTTTATAATGAACTACATAATACACTATCAGATGACCGAGAAGATGAAACAACATTGTTACAAAATAATAAATAGTGGGCTCTTTTATAAAATATAAAAGTTTGGGGTAATTTTTAAAATTTTTAAAAAATATAATAGTAATATTTTGGGCCAAAACTAGCTCTTGAGTTGGTTTTGGAATTTGAGTTTTGAGATTTGGAATTTTTTAAAAATATGGATAAAATTTATGAACAAACATGTATTTTTCAAAAAACAATTGAAAAAAAATTGACAAAATCTATGGCCAAATGGGTCCTTAGTCTAAACCACTTTCCCTCAATTCTCTTAAGAAAACCAATTTTGGGCCAAATTGAACCTTAGCTACTCCTTCCGTCTCATATTAATAGTCATGATTACTAAAAATAGTTATTTCAAATTATTTGTCGCTCTAGAAGTTCAAGACAAAATTGATTAATTTTTTTTTTAATTTTTACCCTTAGTAATAATTGTTTTTGAAGATGAAGATAATATATAAATAGAATAAATATTAAATATAATAAAATTTTATCTTAAGATATAAATAAGGGTATAATAATCTAATCCCTTTCTTAATTAATATTTTTTAAGAGGCGTGTAAAAAAAAACACTTAGATAATATGATATATTCGGACACATATAGTCGGACTACAATTAATATTTTTAGTGAGGTCGGATACTTTACTCCCCTTGCACGCTCATTGTTGAACATCTGGACCGTAGAGTAATATAGTATGGGTGATTAAATATTGTGTAGCCGCCCTATGTCAAAGATATATTAATTTAGCTATGAAACCATGTGAAGAATAATGGACATTAAGCCATTCATTAAAAACTGGTTCAACGTAAGAAGATTGCCAAAAAACATGTACATGAATAGCTCATTACTCATGATTATTGATCTATGGAAAATCATGGGGCAAAGTCACTTTTTTTTTTTAATTGTAACAAGAAAGTACTCAACTATTTATATTGCACACTGATAATCACTCAAACGAATTTTTTAATATTTCTAGTGGAAAAAGTTGATATGACAGTCCACATGGACTTTTTATATTTTTAGCTACATAAATAATTATCACCCAAACAAAAAATAAATCCAATCTTATCCATTAAAAATAAACCCACATGAAATAAACCTTACTCCATATGTATCTCTCTTCCAAAAACCCTTGTACCCATTACTACTTTATAAAACTATCATCTTCTTCTCTCAAGTAGATGAACTTTTCATGGTTTCTCTAATTAAACATTGAACCTTTCAGCATAAAAAATAGTTACTTAATAAGAGCAGTTATTTAGTTACGTGGTCAGGTTGGATTAATTTTTGTTTGGATGATAATTATTTTACGTGGAAAAAAATATAAAAAGTCCATGTAGACTGTCAAACTAGTTTTTTTTTACCAAAATATATTAAGAAATTCGATTGAGTGATCATCAAAGTGCAATAAGGATAATTAAGTGACTTTCTTGTTACAAATANTGACTTTCTTGTTACAAATGAAAGAAAAGTGACTTTAATCCATAATTTTCGATAGTTCAGTGATCATCTAAGTAATGAACTCTATATACGAAGACTACAATTCATTACTTATAATTCAATAATTTCAATTTAACTAATTCTAAATGATGAAGTTGAGAACATGGTTATAGCCTGTTTGGCCAAGATGTTTTTGGGCCAAAAGTCCTTTTTTTTTTAAGTCAAAAGTGCTTCTTTCCAAAAATTGAGGTGTTTGTCCAAGCTTTTGGAAGGAAAAAAGTGTTGTTGAAGAGAAGCAGAAAAAAGTAGCTTCTCTCCAATAGTATTTTTTTGGAAAACACGTTTGAGAAAAATACACTTAGAAGCAGTTTTTAAAACTTGGTCAAATACTAATTGATGCTCAGAAGCACTTTTCGAATTAATTAGCCAAACACAAACTACTTCTCACCAAAAAATTATTTTTGAAAAAAATACATTTAAGAAAAAACACTAAGCTGATTTTTGTAATTAACTTGAACATGCTATTAGTCACTTACCACAAGATACAAAATGGCCTTGTTGTCTTAGTAAACGAAAACCAAGAGCAACAAGATAAAGGTCATCCCCATATATGTTGTTGCATTCACGGTAGGCTTCGTACATCCTTTGTAGCGATGCCTCAATTTCCTCTTCAAAATGATACGATACTCCTAAGCGTTGGATTTTATCAATCAACTCGAGCTTTTCTGAAGACGTGTCATGGACTTCCATTAACATCTTCCTCACTTCTTCTCTCAAGTCTTGAACTTGTTTCTGTTCCAGAGGATTAATAATCTGGAAGGAAACATGTTGAAGAGGGCGGATTCATCAGTAGCAGAATAAGATGAAGAAATAATAGAAGAAGAATTTAGTCATGGCGCAAATGGTAAATAGAAAGAGTAAGGATAAAATTTTCATTGATTTATCAATGATATAAGCATAGGTAGCGACGATCCACTCAAAAATAAAAAAATTAACACAAATAGCTGCTCCCACAACGAAATTAAAAATAACATGCATATGTATAATATATGTATACTCCATTTATAATGTGTATAACTGTGTATAATTAGTGCATGTATAATATCAGTATAATGATTAGAAAAAGTATATAGAATCAAATCGAATATTTGTGTAAAGTCCTTCTAAATATTATTCTGACCAAGCTTCCGTTTACATGACTCTAATTTATTATTTGTAATATTTTCGTTATATTTTCACATCTAGTTTTACTTACGTGAGTGGTGCATAAATATTTTAACTATCGAGCTAAGCTGATTTACAGCAATAAGTAACCGTCTGTAGCAAGTTTATATGGCATTTTATATAAAAACAATTACAGAAATTACCATGGAATCAGAAACACAATCAAGGAAATAGTCTCCCCAAATGCTTGGATGATAATTTGCAGGGCGACGAGAGATTTCATGAACTCCCACCGGCAAGCCTTTGCTCAAATCCATCGTCTTTTTGGATGAAAAGAGGAGAGACGATACAAGGACAAATATCTACTCGAAAACTAATAAAACACTTCTACATTTGCTTCTGATTATGTAGTTATTTATAGTGGATCATTTGCTTTCTTGCATGGGCCAATTCAATTAAATTCTCCCACATTTTTTAGCTTCTTAATTGATATTTGTTTACCCGTAAAACGATACAGTTGAATTTATACGTGGTTTCTAGACAAGTGAATTAATTTGATCCTAAAATAATAAGATAATTGAAAAAAAATGCAATACTTAGTGAGCACCTAATTTTTTACCATGCTTGAATTTTCCACAGCTTTTTAGTATGTAAATATATTTGAAGTTTAATCTACATATTTTCACTATTATTTCACCTTTTATAGTTATTACTTAAGAAAATTATATCTCACTCATTTCACCAATAGCTCACTTCCCACTTCTACCACTCACTTTACCCCTTTTCCCCTAACTCCGTCAAGTCACTTAGCACGCATCTTTACCACAAACATAATTATTCCCTCACATAACACACTTCCCACTCTCCCTCCTTAACAAGTCACACTCCAACTCTTCCTTTTTAACAACTTACACTCCCACTCTCACTTACTTGTATAAAAACACTTGGATTCCATCACTTAGAGAACATCTTTTAGAGTTGCTTGAACACCCCAAAAACAGAAAATTCTAGCCAAAAACGTAGCCCAAACACTGCTGAAAAACAACTACCAAATAGCTAAAAAAATAAAACAGTCCCATAAAGCCTCCATTAAAGCACCTCTAGAATAGCTTTGAAACTAGCTTTGTTCCTCCATGAAACCCAGCTGAAAAATCACTAAACCAGCTCTTAGAACCAGTAAAACACCAGCTCATAATTAAGGTAATAGCCCCCTCAAAATGACTCCAAAAATGCCGCTACAATGAAGTTGCACTAGAGTTCCGTCCGTCGAGTTTACCGCCGTCGTTGGAGTCTCGGTCATGATTCTGTGATAATTCAATAGTCATCGGTTCTGTGTTAGAGCTTTTCTTTGTTGCTATACAGTTTGCTTTGGAGATAATTTTATCAAAAGGTCCATTTTTTTTATCACCAGCTTTGACATCCATTCCATTGCTTTGTTCTCTAACTGATTTGGTTTGTTTCACTGTTATTGAAGTCATGAAAATTTAGTACATTTTTTTTTCTTTTGTAATCAAAATTCAAAGTTATAAGATTATGTGTTTGTTACATGTTTAGATATATTCTGTTAGTATCATAACATGATTTATTCACGGGCCTTACATAGTTATCAAAATTAGTGTCTTATTTGTTAGACTAGCAGCGAAACTTTTAGTTTTAATGTGCAAATGAAAATTACATAGTATAAATGACTCTCTTAATGTTAATAATGGCCGAATCATATTATTTCATCCACAAAGTGATTTCCATGACTCGGTGAATGCCTTACACCTTCTTCCCGGTCAACAGAATTCCTTATCCACACTTTATTTTTCGCATACCAATAATAAAAGAGTAAAATATTCCTTTGAATAGGGATTCAAATAAAAGGTGACTTGGAACACCCAAAAATCAAATTTCAAGTGGCGACTCTGAATAATAAAATAATCTTACTTCAAAATTGTCACATTAATTGGAAAAATACTTTAACCCACAACAATCTGTAATATATATCTTTTGGGGGTAGAAAAGGGGTGTGACACTTAGCCTTGAAAAAGAGACGAAATAGCAGAAACACTGGTTCTGGGCACAACAACAATGAAATTAAAAAGCAAGAAGATAAAATTGTATTAAGTTTTGGATAGAGTATAGCGTAAATTTGCCAGAAAATTCATGACCCTTACAATGATAGCTAAGTTCACTATTTATAGCTACGTCTAGAGAAGGAGGTCCTAGGATCGTACCCCTCTTTAATGTCAATTATGAGGGTCGTTGCTGAACATGTAATGGTGAACATAAATGCCAAATTTTTTATAACGGGTAATCGTATTTAATGCCATGGAATATTTCCTATTAAATGCTACCGGGCAGATAATATTTATTACATCCTTATGAGTGTCATTCTTCCCGGTGACAGACGGAACAGTTGCCTTCGGTCTTGGCCATCCCCTCATCTTAGGTTCCACGTGTCCTTTTTTTGGAAGGCCACTTGGCATAGCTTATTTTACCCTATACAGATAGTCCCCCTACTTTCCGGTGATATAACTTGTGTCAGTGGAAAATTGGTAGAAACATTCTTTTGGAGGTAATTGTTATGATTCCTTTTTAAGGCTTTTGACGGTTGATTAGACGCACGTCTCTCCGCATTTAATGCCCCAAACATGCGTCATCCCACGATTTAACATAGCTTTTGCCGGTTATTGTGGTAATCACGACCATGAATTAGTCGCCAAAACTTTTAGTTATACACATCAATATTCTCCCCTTATACTCCATAACTTTTCAAAACTATCTGAAGTCTTCCTTGCTTTAATTAATCTTTTCTGCAACTCCCTTTAATACGAAAAAGCTTTTATTTCGTCCCAATGGATTCTTCTTCAAAGAATGTTAGCTATTCAAAGGGTAAGAGCAAAGCTGATGATGCTTATCCTACAACGGTGGATTCTATTATTCCTAGAAGTGTTGTTACAGTAAATGACTTTGAAGAGAAACTCCCTTCGGCTCTCCCTCGCACGTGGGCTGTTAGCAAATTTCCTTCTTCCATTCGTCCTTCCAGTATTCCTGTTGTGAAGGAAGACTGCCGCTATCATGATTTGGACATTGTTGCTCCCGTTCTAACGGAGCGAGTGACCCTTCCCAAGAAGAGATTTACATACTTTTACACGTATCCTTTTTACTTTAGGTGTGGTTTCCTTAAGTGTAGAGCTTGACTCCGTCATTACGGATTGCCTCCTTTATCAAGTGTGTTTGGCATAAGTAGGTCCTTATGTGTGGAGAATGATTGCTTGTCTTTGGTGTCTGTACCAGGAAACCAGAGAGGATCTATCTTTAGCTCATGTGATGAATCTCTATTCCCCTAAAATATTTCATGGGGGAATGATAAATTTCAGCATACTTAGCCATCATGCCATGTTTTCTAGCATGGATGATGACATCGACCGTGGGTGGATGGAGCAGTTTGTTCCAGTTGCTACCAGTGACATTATTCCAGCAACGTCTTCATCCTTTCCAGAGGCATAGAACCGCACTCGTAAGCTTTTTGTTTAATATTTAGTTGATTAGGGATTCTTCCAAATCTGTATTGATCCTTCATTCTACGCTCGTTTTAGCAACTCGATGGGTTCCGCCTATGGTTGAAGGCTTGGTCCAGTGGGTCCAAAAGATCTTGGACGTCACTACGCCCGAGACCCGTACGTGAAAAGAACTGTCCATCAAATACGGGTGGAAGGACAAAAATCATGTTAATTCAGACTAACCTTGTTTCTGCTTTTTATGTGAGGAAATTGATTGATCCCTTCTATCTTTTCCTTGAAATCAGGTCTACCCGCGGGTTCAGTTGATATTCCCGAGGAGGATGTTTTGGATGATCCTGCTGACGAAACACTCACTCGAACAGGTGTCTCCGGGCCTACTTCGGGTACAAGTATTTCACTACGATGTCTCCGGACGGAGAACACGCAACCAAAATAAGGTGTTCTTCCGTGGTCGGGTAAAAGAATAAGAGGGCGAAGACTATTTCCCCCGAGTCATCTTCAGAAGTTTTGATCACTAGCCCTCCTCCAAAGCCGGTCATAAATACCGTGATGACTAACGATGATTGAGAAGCTAGTGATGATGGAGCTTCTCTGCACATAAGGCGATAATTATCATTAACTCACCAGAATACTCAATCTTTTGAGTTAGTTGCACCAACAGAGGACGATGTCTCAGCACTTTGGGGGAGTTTAATTTAGTAGAAAATGCCAACTCCCGTTTTCAACCACCAATTGTTGTGCCTTGTACTGCGGAGCTGAGTATCGAGTCCCTACCGTCTTTGGTTGGTGAGCATCGAACAACCAACACTATATTTATTGCAGCTTCTTCTCATTCACCGCCATCAACTTAATCTCCATATTCCTAGCTCTCCCACCAGCAACTGCTACATCAGCTCCACCGACCGCACTTGATCATAAAGGAGATGTTTCTCTTCACGAGTCCCAAGTTCATGGGAATTTGGGGCAAAATTATTCTGGCCCCTCTGAAGATCCACATGGGAGGAGGAATGTCACTCTGTCGGTCTCCACCGGATACAACTTGTTATCCTGGTCGGCGGATCTTGCTAAATATTTGAAGCCTTTGTCTTTAGAGAAGGATTGGGAAAAGATTCAGGCTCTCTAGGGAGAGTGCTTGTTGAACAACGCCATGCACAATGCCGCAGCGGTATATTCTTTACTTCTTTTGTTGTTTCTTCTATTTTTGCCTAAACATATCCTAAATCTTGCCTTTCTTGCTTTGTAGGCTAACTTCCTTGCTTCTGAGGGCCTTTAGAGGTTGATTCATGAGAAGGAAGAAATTACTTCCGCACGGGATCAGCTTTTGGCAGAGCGGGAGCAAAGTGCCACTCGCCTCTCGGAACAGCAAAGTGAGCAAGAGGTGGAAAACCTTAGCCAAGAGATGTCCCCGTTGAGGGTTGAATTTGAAGAAGGTAAAGCTAAATGGATTGAAGTCCATAATGTCGTTCTTATTGTATTCGATCGTAAGGCTGCCTCCGCTAAGAGACTAAATAATTTGGAGGCAGCCTTGAGTTACAAAGTTGAAGAGTTTGCTGCTGTGGGGGTGAAATATGCCTAGTTGGAGAGGAAGAATAAGAGGACCATTGAGCATAATAGAATTTTCAGCTCCACTGTCCGTGACCTTGATGTTAGCCTCAAATTTGTTTGATCCGCCCAGGAAAGCCTTTCTGCTGAGGTAACCCAACTCAAAGAAGAACTCAAGCGCCGATAGGCTTCTCTCATTGTTGAAAACAACTTATGCTATGTACATCATGGGGGGACATACCTTGGAGGAGTCAAAAGCAGGTTGACTGCTAAAGATGGTCTCTAGGTGAGTCCTGATGCTCTTGGTCCTTATGATTCCGGTT